CCGCTTGCAGATCTTCTTTACCGCCACTCTATAAAACTGCATGATTTTACTCTATAAGGGCCTTGTACATTTTGCTAATTTATTATTCCTGTTTTACATATTTTACTTATGGTATAAATAATACCTAATTTTACTTTATTTTGATTGTTTATTGTTAGCATAAAAGATGAAGCACAACAGATTTTTCTATACCTTTTTTCTGACAATCTTGCTAAATTCTCTTATTAATTCTAATGAATAAAAATTTGTAAAAACAATTTTGTGAAAACGATGAGAATCTTGTGTGTTCATTTTGATGCCCTTTTCTTTCTTTCATTTTGTTGTTTTGCTGTGCAGGGCAGCACCGTTATAGAGAAATCTTATGAGAGCCCTGGATTCAAGCCGCATGTGTAACTTGAAATTTTCCAACAGCTGCATACAAAATTCGAAAGGAATAGATTAAATTCATTTTTAGAATGCATTTCATTTATCTACTGTATCCATAGTATTGTCACTTCAATGTGTTATTGATACCAACATAAAATTGAGACTTTTAAGTGAGTTCTCTGAGTGCTAAGTTTGAAATCTGGCAGGTGTCTCTCTCCTCTCCCGATTGGATTTGTCAGTCACATTTCAGATACTCGGTGGTCCCTGTGACTGGTGGCCACCAGGGTTGGGAACAGATCTCCAATATTAGGGGGGGCATGTTATAGAAAGGGGGTCGCAGCCTCTCTTGCTTGTCCCATCTCAAGGGGATGCCTGGAACGTTTCACCATCAAGTGGGATACTTGCTAGAGGTTTTGTTTTGCTTTTGCAAATGCCAGGAAAAAGACATTCCCTGTATTCCTAGTTTGCTACGATTTAAAAAACATAACAGATGTTGACTTTTTCCTGGAGCTATGGAGATGATGCTATGCCTCTACCTCTGATCTGCTAATGTGGTGACTCACACTGGCTGAGCTAGTTTGCTGGCTTTCTCTCTCTTTCTCTCTCACTCTCACTCTCTCTTTCCTCCCCTGTGTTGGGGATGGAACTCAGGGGTGATTTACCAGTGAGCTATATCCCCAGCCACCCTCTTCCTCTTCCTCCTTTATTTCTGTCTTGAGGTAAGGCTTTTATAAGTTGCTCAGGCTGGCCTCGAACTTGCAGTCTTCCTGCCTCAGCCTCCTAAATCACTGAGATTACAGACTCAAAACACGGCTCCTAGTTTATTTATTTTTTGTTTTTTTTTTTCTTCTGGTACCAGGAATCAAACTCACAATCTTGCGCTTGCCAGGCAGGCACTGTGCTGCTGAGCTAAATCCCCAGCCCCTCCTAGTTTAAATTGACAGATTTTTGAATGTTAAACCAGTCCAATTTTATCACAGTGTATAATCATTTTTATATACTGACAGGTTAGATTTGTTAACACTTCATTTTGGATTTTTTTGTATCTCTATTTAAAAGTGACACTGGTCTGTAATTTTCCTTTCTTCTACTGTACTTGTCATACAAGGACTTAGGAACAATTCCTTTTCCTATTACATGGGGATGTTGGGGTTGACTGGAATGATTAATTCTTTAATCTTCAGGTGAAGTCCTCTGGGTCTGGGTTTTTGTGGGGACCATCACTGACAATCCACTCCCTTCCTCTACTGATACAGGGAGGTGTGAGGTTTAGCCTGCACAAAAGAACTCAGGTCAGTGAAATACCCGACACGTTCACACCAGTACACGGCTGCCCCACCGGTCCCTGAACACACTGTCCCAGATCCGCCGGCCCGTCCGATGACACATAAATCAGTCTGTGCTGGGCACAGGGACTGCCTCCTGGCGTCTGCTCAGGCAGTGGCTGGTTCCTACACACTTAAGTGCCTCCACCAGGGTCAGAGCATTAACTGTGTCTTCTCTCTGTTCTTTTGGTCAATTTCACCAAAGGGCTGGCGACACTATTAGTCTTGTCCTGGAAAAAAATTGTGTGTTTTCTGATCCTATTTCATTACTCTCTGCTCTCACTCTCTTCTTGTCTTTCACCTGATTTCTTTGGTTTATTTTGCTGTTCGTTTTCTCACTTTTTTTTGAAATAGATGGTTGCCATTATTTTTAGACTTTCTCTTTTCTAAAATAAGTGCTAAAATATCCTAGGTACTGCTTTAATAATAGCCCACAATTTTAATATGTAATATTTCCAGTCTCATTCAGTTGAAATATTTTATGACTTCAATTATGACTTTTTTCTTTAGGTTCCATCAGTTACTTAAAATATACTTCTTAATTTCCAAACTTAACGGCTTTCAAATTTATGCTCCAAACATATGGGGCTACCAGAGTTACTGACCTCTAGCTTATATATGTTGATGTCAGAAAATATACTTTATATGATTCAGGCTTTTGAAGTTTCTTTTGAAAACTGTTTTGGTAAATATTCCACACATTTAAAAAAGGAAAGTATGTTGCCATGGTAGACACCTCGTTATAGAAAAGTCCCTTAGTCAAATTTATTAATGGTATTGTTCAGCTGTAGGACTGTTTAGGACTGTTTACTGTTCAGCTGTAGGACTTTAGGACTGTTCTCTCTGCTTGATCTACAGATTACAGAGGAATGTGTTTTAAACTCCTTAATTCTGAGCCACCACCTGTAATTGTGGGTCTGTCTATTTCTTACAGTTCTATTCTTTACGTTTCCTGTAAGACTTTAGTGTTTGGATAGAAATTTGGAATTGTTCTACCTTTCTGGTGAACTGCACCCTTTTCTCTGTGGAGTAACCCTCTTTGTCTTGGGTGATATCTTCCCCATATTAAAATAATTGCATCCACCTTCTTTTTGTCAGTATTTGGACGCCATTTCTTCTACACACCAACTTTCAACCGTTTTATAAGTATCTGCATATTTGGGAAATATGGCTACAAATGCCATCAAGTTGGATTTTATGCAGCCTGCTAAGCTTTGTACATTAACCCCAATATTTAGTCCACTTGCATTCACTCTGAGTATATACCTAGCATTCCAGCAGTTGGATTTATTTTTCTCTCCATTCCTGACTGCCTCAGGGTTGCTCGCGTTGGTTTTCTTATTCCAATAATTTAGATCAGTATCACCGACTGTATTCCCTTTGTCTCACTCTTTCTCAGTGATGGCAACTTAGATTTTCAGTTTACCCTTCTCCACTTTCTTCCTGAAGACTGTCAAGGCTTAGAACGCTGTATCTCCACCCAGCCAAATTTATATGCCATGACTATTGTGTATTTTAGTTCTATTTTTATCCAAAAGACAGTTGTTATTTTAGATCATCAATGTTCTTCATTGTTCTTTCTTCCTTATTGCGACAGACCTCAGTCTGATTATTTTCCTCCAGCCCGAAATTCCTCCGTTGGAATTTCCCTTAGGGAGGGACAAAGTCTTACTGTTTGTATTTGTGATTATCATTATTTCACTCTCGTTCTACAGAGATATTTTCACTGGGTACATAATTCGTGAAAGATCTTTTCACTGGATACAGAATTCTAGGATGATGGTTATTTTCTCTCCGGGCGTTTAATACATGTAATACATCCCACTGCCTTTTGGCTTCTCATGCTTCTCTGGCTAAAAATATCAGATGTAAATCTATCATTCTCTTTTCCTGTGCGCCAGATTTCATCCTAAAGGAAATAGGGATCTACGGGTCTTTTCTAAACACAAATAGGGATCTACAGGTCTTTTCTAAACACAACACATGCCCAGTTACATGCGCATTTTACAAAAGCGCATTCAGGCACGGCGTGGATCAGGGTCGGTGGGTACCGGCACTTCCTGAGAAGGATGTAGCCGAGAACTAGGGCGGAGGGTGTGGGAGTGAAGGCAGGGCAGCTACGGGTCACCCCGAGGCCGGTCTCCGGATCAGCGCAAGAATCTAGGACGGAGCGGGAGGGGTCCTGGTGTCTCTTCTTTTGATGTTCTTTTTTTGTTTTGAGACAGGGTCTCGTTACGTAGTTTAGACTGCTCTTGAATTATGTAGCCCCGGCTGCCCTGGAACTCGCGGCGATCCTCCTGCCTCAGCCTCCCAAGTGCTGGGGTTGCAGGCGTGCGCCACCACACCAGGCAGACTCCGGGTTCTTGGCGGGGATGAATCGAAGTGCTGTCGGGAAAACAGGGGGTAGAGATGGGTAGGGATAATGACTTCGTCTTGGACCTCGAGATCCATTCATTAGCTTGGAAAACAGCGTGCCAACAAAAAGGCCCCCATCTCCGTTGGGGCGAGCTGCTGTGGGGCCTGCGGACCCTGCGGGCTGCGCGGCGTACGGCCGGCCACGGGAGGCACCGGCCCGGAATCGCCGCTCCGCAGCAGGGTCCGGCGACGCCAGGGACTTGGCGGTCTCCGCGCTCCGGCAGCGAGGGTCGGCGCCCCGCCGGCCTCCGGCACAGTGGGAGGTGGGGCAGGGTCCTCCGCTCTGCGCCCGTCTCCTAGCTGCCCTCGGGGGTCAAGCAGCTCAGGTCTTCCGGAGTCTTCGAGGGGGTACTGGGGGACTCGCGCCTCGGTGGTAAACAGCCAACCCGCCAGACGCCCAGCGGCGACAGAGACCGCGCGCAACCTCAGCGCACGGAGCGCGTCGCACCAAATAAGTCCCGCCGCTGCGGGAGGGCGCGCCGCGCGTGGCCGGCGGGGGCGGGGCT